CTTTTCTTCTCTCTCTCTCTCTTCCTCTCTCTCTCTCTCTCTCTTAATCCCTCAAAAGTTTACTCTCATTTCGTCATTTTTGCATTTTTTTTTACCCTCACTTTTGCTTAAAACTTACATTTCATTTTTTTAGAAATGTATTTTGATCATTACAAGTGAAATACAATGAATTAATTTCGATGAATTAATTAAATCGAAATTGAAAGGAATTAAAAATAAAGCTAAAATGATGAATGAATGAAAAAAATACCAATGTATTTGTCACCAAAAGACCAAAGTTTCTGTGATCAATCGATCCAATGAAATTGGAATGCGACAATTGCGCTTCTGTTATTTTGCAGAAAATATGCAACAAACTTAAAACTTTGCTTTCTTTTTTAAAGGCAACCTAATATTCCAAATCGAACTTTTAAAAACTTTTCTACTCTTATTTCCATTTATTTCTTTCATTTTGCGCTCCTTTTTCATTATTTCATAAATTATGATAGGAGACAGACTTTTTTTTTGTCTTTTCCGAACTTTTCCTCTTGCAATTTCGCAAGGTAAAATGTCGGAAAAATAAAATGCTTCGAAAATAGGACCGTATTACAACAACTCTGTCAACGATAACTTTTCTTGAAAACAATATGAATTTCACTCTTTGATAACTTTGAAAAATGCCATTCTAAAAAAAAAACAAAAATTGAATTTAATTCTACTCAACTATGCATATTTTTGCTGATATACCATTACGAGGACATTTCGATGACAACTGTCAATCCTCTCTGATTCCATTCTAACATTCAAATGAATGAAAAGATCCAAAGTGTTCCAGTTTAATTAACATCTTTTTTCAACAAAAAAAAAAGTTCGACGAAGATCAAAGAAAGTAGAATATCAGGTGATGAAAGTAATCGATAAGCAAGTACATCATTATCATTTGTCACAATGATATTATCGATGTCCTTTTCACGTAAATGGAAACTTCTCATTTCAGTGATAAAATTTGTGCATTGATAATATCATTTTCTTAAAATTTTTGAAAATTCTTTATTATGTTTAATCCCCATAACTACCCAACGGAATATAAAATTACATCTAACCATTATGATTAATTAATTAATTGTAATGGGCAAAATTATTTCTTTTCACTCTTAAAATTATCATTTTGTATTTCAATTAGTGACTGAATCATTCATAATTATTATTTTTTCTGACTGATATGTCGTATATTTCCATAAATTTATCTTTTCGGTTTTAAACCCATTTTAAGATATATAGCCCATATTTCGAATGTTATCAGTATGGTAACGAATGAACAAATTTGCATGAATTCTCAAATGATAACAAATTCCCATGTAAGCGGTAAATGTTATCAATAAAACCTTATCACCAATCATGATCGATCAACAAAAGGTCATGCTATCCGTAACAGAAACATTCTACTAAATCACTAAACAATCAGGAAATTTCATTGATGATCAAAAAACTAATTGAAATAATTAGACAAATATCATTTTAGTCGTTTTTATAATGAATTTTCTCATGCTGTAAGCCGATTTTGTTGGTATTTCTTTAAATAACATTAATAAAATTGAATACGGCGGTAATGTCGATTTTGCGCCTGTTCATGCTATCATTTTTGAAAAAAAAAAAAAAGAACCATCTCTGATAAATAAGCTTTTTACACAAATTTGTTTTACGTTGCATAGAGATGGGAAAAATAAATTTCATATTGATTAAAAATTGATCAAATTAATCTTTTTGGTTTATTTTTAGTAATTTAAAAATAAAGAATGAAGCCTACATTCTGTGTGAGGCTATTAATTTGCATATGAGGCTATTAATTGCATATGAGGCTATTAATTGCATATGAGGCTATTAATTTTGCATTTTAGATTTTAGCTATTATTATTTACGAAATTTTTGAAAAATATTGCAAGAGTGATTATTCTTCCTTCATTTCTAATCTAATCGAATGGAACAGTTATTATATTTTGCGCTTATTGAAAGTATGAATCATTCTACCTTAAATTTCAACAGTTGATAATCTCAAGTCCTTAATATTTAAACATCATATATCGTTTAAAAATAAATAAAATTTTGTTGAATTTAATGATGGCTAAAAATTGTAAGTTGAAAAAACTTGCAGATCCGTTGCTTGCATTTTGCATTCATCTTTCTTTTATTAGTTCATCTGATAAACTTTTAACATGCATCTAATCCATTTTAAATACTTCACTAATACAATTTTAAATAATTAAATCTATGCAAATGTTAATTAACACTGTCAACGTAATAAACTATGAGAGATAATGTTGACATCACATAATATTATTTTTTTACAAATCTCTGCTGACGAACGGTTGCGTATTGTTTCGAAAAAAAAAGAAAAAAAAATGTCAAGAAAAATTTCATCGGAATCAGAATCCAATACAGTAAATACCGGTGATAATGGTGACGATTTAATGACAGGAATTTCTATTTCACAAGAGAAGATAACTGATCATTCCAAAACGAATGATAATATGGAAGATATTGTAATTGGCAAGCCATCATCAAAAGATCATCAATCACAATCATTCTTTTTCAATGATGATATTATTGGTCAAAAATATGTGGAATTAGCAAAACTTCCAGGATTACAACATATTCATGGTACAAAAATTATATGGAAACGAACACAAAATGTTCTTGAATTACCAATTCTTGGACATTTTCGAACATATGAAAAACGTGTGGATAGGTCACGTCCAAATCCATGGCGTCGACATGGCGCATTAATTAAAATTTATGAAATTGGTGGTTGGATATCAAAAGTTGAAAAACAACAAATAAGTCGTCGTGATCGAAAATATTTTCATATTAAAGCAGGAAGTAAACCATGTAATCCACCAACACGTCCACCAATTAGTATTCGAGAGAGTAAATTTTTACCACCATCATCAGTTAATATACCATCAGGAACAAATCAAAGTATTGATGAATTAGCATTTATTGCAGCTATGCATATTCAAGAAGCAATTCGAAATTCTATATCGATTTTTTTGCAATCACACCAGATTGAAACAACGGGAAAAGTTAATAGTAAGAATAATAGTTATTCAATTGGAAAGATGAATTTAGGAGGAAGAAGTTTATCAGTACAACATTTATCTGCTCGATCTACACATTCATTGGGTAAAAATTCTCGATCACGATCACTGAGTTTAGTTGGTAGAAAATCGCGATAATTCTATCGACAAATATGTTTTTTTTCTTTTTTTTATTCTGTCTGATATTATAATAATACTATCGTATTTTTATCAAATTATTGATTTCTAATTCTTTAAATTAAAATTTCCACACAATTATTGTGATCATGTTTTTCGAAAAATCTATGGCTTCTCCTTTGAATATAATAAAAAGTTCATAAAAAATGCGCTAAATATACATATTGAAATTCATTAACTTCAACCAATATGTGACATTTGTTCCAAGCTGTGACATTAATTTTAAATTGAATTCAAAAACAAAAGATAGCATTTTTTTTAAAAGATAGAGTAAAATGAAGACTTAATGAAGAGATCAATGTTAGGGAATAGTTAAGGTATTTTGACTCTTGATTAGAATCTATGATATTAGATAATTTCAAAGATCGAGATCAATGGTGGAATCATTAATCGGAGGTAGCTAATATATAGCAGCAAGCTACAGAATTATTAATCTTCTTATTAATGAATTAATTAACACTAATTTTAAATAAGAACAGAAACTTATATTTTGCATATCTAAATGTTAGTATAACAAAAAATTAGGTACTGCGTTTTTTTTTTTTGCATATTTGACGAGATAATTAGAGATAAATTCATTTTGAAATAAGCATGGTGGTATCGCGTGGTTTGATTTATTTCAGATTGCATTGTCTTTGAATTACGTATTTCACGTAAATCGCGTATTTCAAATTTGACAATTTTAGATAAGCATTACTCTCATTGATTCATGATTGATTATTCATTTGAGAATTAAGCTAAAGAATTTGATAAAGTTAATATTGAAAAGCATACTTATCGCAAATTATTTTTAAAAAATTCAATTTGTAGCTATTAGCTAGACAAAAATATGTTAACAAAAAAAAATTGACAAAATAAATTATTAGAAATTAATAATTTCTTCAAAATTATGCAATATTAAAATCTGTCGAAACATTACATAAATCATCGTCGTAAATTGCGTACTTTACTGCGTTACAGTAATTTGTCATATTGAAAGTCAAGGAATGATCAATATGACTAGTAATATTACTGATAAGATTTATTATCTGTTATAGAAATCTGAAGTTAGTCATACTTCAAACTTTGTAAAGTTATCGAAATTTATTTACAATTTATGGGTATTTGTAGATTGTACCAATTCTTTTACTAAAATAAAATCTGGAATTGATGAAGTAATTAGAAAAATCAAAATTTAATGTATAGGATATTATAAATAGAAGCCGCTACTAAATAAACCAAAACAAATAATTCAATTAAAATTTATCCGAAATTATTAAGCTTTATAAACGTCTAAAATTAGCAAAACCTTTGATACTAATTAAGAAAGTATTATTGAAATGTAAACATCTAATTTATCTAATATTTGATTGTGACAGGAATTTTTTTTGATTTTAGGATCATTGGGACAGATATTTAAGGTAAAATCATTAATGAATTCTCCTGAATTGCTTAAAGCGATTTCTGAATTTTAGATAGACATCAGAATTGTTTATTAAAAAATTGTTAGACGTATGCAACAAATGCTCTTCAATAATAATTTATGATAATGGGGATCCGTTTAAAAGCCAAATAGTCCTTTAATTTTAGATGACAGGTTGAAATAACTACTACTATTAGGTCGAACGGTTGATAACTTAGCGTTCAATTCCTGAAATGTTGGCCGATTTTTTGGATCATATGCCAAACAGCTAAACATTATTTGTTGCATCATCACTGGCATATCAGGTGGACTGCATATCTTCACCTGAAATTTATGAAAGTTTAGCCATGTAGGTCATTGAATTAATCTTTGGTCTTTGGTTTAAATTCAATCTGAAATTATCAGATTTTAATCCTATCACTGCTACTAAATTAATCAAAATCCTAATATTCATTTATCCCATTCCGAGAACAAACAATAAATTTGCCCGTTGCTCAATAACTCCTCGTCGTAACTCCTTGTTATCCTGAATTTCGGTATACGGTTCCTGACCGCCCGAATATATTTCCCAAACTGTTATACCAAAACTCCAAACATCGGTTTTTGATGAAAAACATCCATATTTTAGTGTTTCCGGAGATAACCACCTTTAATTGGATAAATTAATTAATGCTCAATGTAATTCAGTTTAGAATGTATGCAATGTTTTGATCAATTTTTAAGCATTTATTCAGTTGTTTCGCCGGTCTTGCCGGTTTCTACATACGGAAGCTTTATAGTTTCCTCACCGAACAGGTACATTCTTCATAGTCCTTTCACGATATTTGATTCCAAGCAATGACAATCCAAAATCGCTTAATTTAACCTCATCATCCGCATTCAGTAAACAATTTCGTGCGGCAATATCACGATGAATAATCTGTACTGTTTCAAGATAAGCTAGACCAGAAGCCGCCCCAGCACAATATCGTAGCTTATCCGCATCAGTGGGCTTAAAAAATTGGTGCAAAAAAAAATTTTAACAATCATTTACTGATACGAAAAATTTTTGTTTTTAATTTGTTTTTCAAAACTTCAAAAAATCTTACCGGTCGTTTGCTATTCTGTACACGAGCAAGAAGTGATCCACCACTAGCAAACTCCATAACGATCATAATTGGATCTTTCAAGGTTGCTACGCCATAAAATTTGATAATATTAGGATGGCTTAGCTTAAGCATTAAATTTGCTTCTCGAAGAAATTTAATTCTTTCATCTGTGCTAATGCTTCCGGAATGAAGTGTTTTAATTGCCACCGGTACGCAACCGCGAAATACACCAAGATTAAGCGTTCCTTCCCAAACCTCACCAAATGCTCCTTCACCCAATTTTCGATTTCGTTCAATCTACAAAATTCAAAAAAGGAAAAAAATTACAAAAAATGTAAATCTATAGAAAAAAAATAAAAGGAATAAATGCACTAAACTAGTTATAAACAAGCCTGGAAGTTATCTTCAGAAACTTCATCCTATATTAGAGAATTCCGGAATATGTCCGGAAATCTTGCCTGTTTGGAAGTAAATCTGTCAAGTTCCTGGAATGATTTTAATAGTTAACCTGTTCATGAGCAAGTTGCCAATCGCTTCTTGCAATTCCTTTTACGATGTATATATTTCCATTATTCAACGGTTTCTTCATACGACTGTGATATGCAATTAGATCGGAAATCGTCTTGAACGCGTATCTGTATACGTAATACAGATGCTTCTGTAAACAACTTGAAGTATAAACGTGAAGATACATGTTGCGTCATTTCGAGACGTAAAAAAGAATCATTGAACTACTCACAGGACGGGTTTTTTTGATAATAAAATTTATTATTTCATTTGAATTTTCCGGAAGAACAGTGATAACGTATTGCATTGTACCATCAATTTCTGCTCGTCGTACCAGAAAATCACCTGGATTTACAAGTAATGGTTTGCACTCATCGTTTGACATAAAACCATGATAAAATGGTTCATCTTCTACCTGTTGAGCTGTTCCACCAGCTTCATCAGGTAGTATCTAAAAAGGACTTAATATGATAAGCTATGAATAAGCTTGATTTATATTTATGAATGATTTGTTTTTGTTTGTTTATTTCATTTTTCTTTTTTAACTCTAGAAAATATATTACTAACTTGAATAAGCTTTTTATTGCGTAACGATTGGGATTGAGCTGGCATTGATTCAAGCATCGGTTCAGGTAAATACTTGAAATTCGTCCAGTTTATAGGTAAGCAAGCAATAAGTAAAAAGAAAATATGTATAAAACAATTATTTTTCAAGTTTTGACAGCTGGAATTTTTTACTTTCTGTTATCATTCTGATTTTAGTATTTTCATAGAAGTTTCTTAACACATTCCTTTTTTGGATTTTATTAAATTCTTTTTTTTTAGATTCTTTTTTTTACTTTCAATTATTCATTTCGAAAATTTTGACGATTACTATTTGTTTAAGAATGAAAAAGTACTGCAGAAATTGTAGATCGAGTTGACATTGTTGATGAAGTTGTGGACTTCATTGACGCTTGTCCTGAAAATACGCCAAAGCAGCACTGCATCAAATTTTTGGAATTTCACTAATCACAACTAACAATTTTTGTTTAATACTGAGATTCTTTTTTTTCTTTTTTTTTGAGCGAAAATAAACCAACTGCTGAATGTTTAACGAAATTTACCACTGATACTCCGCGATGATCTTCTACGAATGATCAACTTTTTTGCTGAAAGAAGAAATTTGCAACTAAGTGATTTCTGATATCTTTGAATATCTTAAGTTTCAGTCAAATTCTTTATTATGCTTGTTTAGGTTATTAGTAATTTATCTCTATCATTTTCTTTATCAATTAAAATTTTACAATGGCTGTGTGGCAACCCTGATCCTCCTGCTCCTGCTCCTGATCCTGACCCTGATCCTGATCCCTGAGTCTGAGATAATGCTGAAGGTGTATGAGCATTGACAGGTGTGTGAGCATCATTTGGTGTGTCAGTTGGAGTGATAGCCGACTGGAAGACCATCATAAATTGCGACACTTCACGACTGCGATGCTATCACCAAATTTTGTTGAATTACCTAACAACTAATGTGACAACGCTAAAAATGATTGTGGCGTATTGTTTGCCATCATTTTAATTATGGGACTGATTAAATTAACATTTTATGCAAATTTAATCAATTGATACAAAAACTGGAGAAGATGAAATGTGGTCGAAATTATTTTGTCATAGATTATTCATTATCACTAAATATCTCTCACGAATAAGTGATACTCACGAATAAGTGAATAAGTGATACACTATTTGATGGTGATCCATGGAATAAGACACAATCCTTTTCATTCATCGTTTTCCTTTATCAATTTAATTGAGCTAAACACATTATTAGTGGAAAATTTTGGAAACGGACTTTTCGAAACATTGGAAGAATCAACAGATCAATAAAACCGCCTCATTACAGCCCTTTTGTAGAAACTTTTCCTCCATAATGGAAAAATATTAATTATTTAAACTTTCCGCATAATTAACCAGCATGCAAATCACTTATGTCACATATATTTCAATGAATACGTCTTATTTGTCACCTTAGTTCTGCTTTATTCACCTTCTCTCATATTTGAATATTTTCGCTTATTATCATATTGATAAACTCTGATCGCCATCCGGATTGTTTAATGTGATAGAAAAGAAAAGGAATTGGAGGTGTTTACTTCCATTGGTTGATGTCATTTTAATTCAAATCATTCATTTAATGATTTTTAATCATTAAATGAATGTTCTATTTTGTCGAGAAATAACACGATGAAAATTACTGTCTGACAGTGGTGTATTTCATTTGATGATATTATGCCTTCCCTTATCTTTACCATTGCTATCATATCTTATATGTAATTGCTATGATTAAATTTTGATTATCTTATTGATTTTTGCTATCACTGAAACAGAAATAGGAGGAGGGCCAGAAGACAGAAATGCATTTCTACAATAACATGATTTCTCATTGATCTTCCTCAAATGACTTCCGTTACTTGAAATTACACAATCAATACTTATTTAGTGTCACATGAAAGACTAGCGTAAACTAGATATTACGATAATTTAACTAGTACTGCACGTGAAACAACACGTACATACACGTGAGATCAAGAACTGGAACGCTTCAATAACAAACTGGAAGCCCGATAATGTCGTATAGTGAAGGATAGTATTATCGATTGCCCTGTTATTGCCTTCCTAATCGGAATAAAGTTTTTTAAAATTAAAATAGATTCATTTCCCAAGTAAATCTTCCTCCATCTATCTCTCCCTCTTTCTCTCTCTCCCTCCCTCTCTTCGCTCTCCTCTCCTTTCTCTCTAGCTCTGTCATTTTATATTGTTAAAATTCTATTTTTGTCATTTCTCTTTTTTAGAAGATCGATGAAAGAGGAAATAACATTACTTATTGAGATGAAATAGAGAAAGGTAGGATTTTTAGAAAAGTGTATTAAAAGCGGGAGAGGGAAGATAATTAAACGTGATAGTGCTTTGACATGCTGACAAATAAGCGTTATCAAGGACAATTGCACGTATGATCGGACGTGGAAGAGTCGTTTGTAGTGTTCAGTAGTTGACATCAAATTCTGTGAGACACTGAGAAGAAGCGGGATTTATGGGTGTTCAATGAGTGGAAGTTGTCGACTAGGTCCTGTAATAGGGAATATTTTCAACGAATTGGGAAGGAATGAGGATTATGATGATGATGATGATTACTATCTCTTAGCTAGCTACCTTGACTTACAACTTCCTATATACCTATCACTAACATATGTATGTATGAATAACGTGAACGAGTCAATAACTATCAGATTATTGTGCGTATGAATAACGTGAACGAGTTAGCAACCATCAGATTATTATACGTATGAATGACGTGAACGAGTTAGTAACCATCTTACTGTTTCCAAAGAAACATTTCAAAGAAAATCTATTAGTAGTGAGAAAGTGGAAGCATTGTCACTTCCACGTCCTTCCAGTTATTCACATTCTATTATCGCCATATGAGCTGAACGTTCAAACAATAAAAGTAAACAAAAGAACTATTCAAGAACGGCGGGCTATGTTCTGCCCGCCGACATGAAACTGTTACAGCAAGATATCGAAAGTCGTCTTATCAGCTGTGATAAACTATGGAACAGGTTTTGATTCATTCATATTAGTTTTCTTCATATCATACTTTTAATTAAATCGGTATATGATCAGAATTGTCTCATTAGCTGGTACAGTTACCATTCTTGCATGTGACATCACTGTATGCTAGATATAACCATATATAAGCATTAATAGACTTGATTTAATTAGTGAAAGAAATTTGCCCTGAAACTCTCACTTTTGGCGAATCTTATATCTTCTACGGAATGACTTAAGAGAGGCAAAAATGATATTATTATCATTGATAGGATATTATTATTATCATCATTGGTGACAGTAAATTAGCATTCAACTTTCAGACAAGAATGTCGTCTATGGACAGCCAGTTTGTTTCTTGGTACATGTATGTTATATGCGGCACGTGTCGCTTTACCAGTATGTGCTACAGTGATTGCTCATGAATATTCGTGGAACAAAAATGATGCGGTACGTTTCACGTTTTAAATTTTCTATAAAGTAGGAAATAATATCGTCGCATCATGGAATGTTAGTGGATCAATCATAATACCAATCGCGCTCAGTACTTTCATCAATCATCTTCCTTGATAATTTGATGTTATAAAAATCAGTGTGTTACGAAGATTCAAGTATGTTGTTGATCACAGTAGTGCAAAACGGTGAGTTGTTAAGTTATTCATGTCATGATGATAGAAACGGTTCTTCGCAGAAAATTAATATATGAGAGAAGTCAAGTACACGTTAATTTATGTTTAGGGTACTGTGTTGTCGTCGTTCTTCTGGGGATATGCTTGTACCCAAATAATTGCTGGCCATGTAGCTGATCGTGTGGGCGCTGAGAAGGTATTGAAAATCTGTACATTTACATGGGCGTTGCTTACTTTCTTTACCCCTCTGCTATTTGACCTCTCATATTCTACAAATCATCCAGTGCTTTTTATAATACTCATTCGATCTGCGACAGGTATTGGACAAGGTAGGTTCTAATTGATTCCAAAATTATAAATGATTAAAAGTGTCGAAAATTTCTTATGCATTTTCTTCGAGTTCATTTTGAATCGCCAAAATGTGCATGTACAAGTCTTTCAAGCAATATATTTTGCAGCTTTCCACCTCCCATCGATGGCTTCGATGACTTCTCGACATCTGACGTCATCCGATAAGGGGCGCATATTAGGCATATGTTTGGCAGGATCGCATCTTGGGTAATCGCATCTTAGTTTTGCCGCAGATTTTAACTAGAAAAAATATAATCATATTTGGTAAGCATTTCTGAACATTTGTTATTTCTTGAATTCCAGGACAGCTCTAGCGGGTGCAGTCGGTTCAATATTGCTCGAAACTTTCGGTTGGCGTGCTCTGTTTCAATTTGTGGGTATGTGCAGCACGGTTCCCAGTTGTACTATTTTACTTTGATTAAATTAATTTTGTCACTTCTGAAAAAGTCGCTTTTACGTTTAAAGTTTCAGGGTTGATGTCATTTCTATGGTGGGCACTGCTTCGCTTCATGTCGTCATCGCGTAATCAATCCGGTGACTTTGATAATGCCAAAAATGATGAACTGAAAGTGGCCTTAGCAAGTGGCCTGCGGAAATCACTTTGTAGCTCCTCCGAAAATATAGTTCCTTGGAGTGTACTCCTTAAACATCGGTCGTTTTGGTATGTTGAAAAATTATGCCCTCTTTTTTGCTTGTAACCGTACTATCAAAAAATAACGCGTGGTTCATGCGGTTCATAATAATTGGTCATCATTGTTAATTATTACTGTTAATTATTGCAAATAGTTTCATTGCATTTAGCAAGTGATGCTAATAACTTTTTTTAAATATATATATATATATATATATAAGATGAGGAATTTTTTATGTGTCCTTGTGTATCCTGTACGGCAATTTTAAGGGCAGCAGCAGTTGCGCAATACTGCGGTGCAAATGCTTATTATACATTGTTCAGTTGGCTTCCGTATTATTTCGCAGATACATATCCTGATGCCAAAGGAGTTGTATATAATGTAGTACCCTCACTTGCAATTGTTACAACTGCCTTTTTTGCCCCGTTTATCGCAACAACATTGTTTCTTCATGTACATTCGCTTACTCTCGCCAGGAAGTTGATGGAGGTTCATTTTTTTATTTCTCCTCTGCTTACGTTGTTTTACCCATAGTTTTTGATTTTCCATCACAATATTACTAGTGTGAAGCCAATTTCTTGTGTTTTCAGGGCATTTCATTGAGTGCAATTGCAGTATGCTTATTGATTTCAACGCAATCTATGAGTTTCGGTGCAGCTTTATTCACGTTTACATTAGCTATGGCAGCACGTGGCTTTCATCATGGTGGTGTTTCAGTGAATCCATGTGATCTTGCTCCCAACCATACCGGCTCTGTTTTTGGTAATTTTACGTTTCTGAAATTATTTATAGGAATTTTACCAAGTTCCAAAAGGAGCATACAAGAGGATTATTTCAAGTATTTAACATTAAGCGGGAAAACAGATTCGTTAGGACTTCAAAGCGTTTGAAATCAATGTTTTCTGAAAAAAAAAAATTTCATTATAATTTCTTAACGCGGATTTTAATCAAAAAGTATAGAAAGATAACCAATTAATTTTTCGTGCTAAGGTTTGTAAAAGAAAAAAAAGCTTGACGTAGGTGGTCTGTTTTTTAGTATTTCAGGATAAGCTTGTTTTATCCATGATCTCGTTTCCCCATGCTTGCTTAATGCTGGTAAAATATTAGCATGTACTCATAAAGACATAATATTTTCTGGGTCCGTATGAAATTTCCATCTCAAATTTCTTCCATTCCAGGTGTTTTTAATGCGTTTTCCGCAATAACCGGTTTTGTCGGAGTGTATCTTGCTGGATATATATTACACGAAACGGGCAATGTTTGGGCCTACGTATTTATTTTTACATCTTTGCAGTGCCTTATCGGAGCAATTGTTTTTTCTTTATTTGGTACAGCAAATAGAATTATTTGACTTCTTTTTCCATTTTCATCTTTTGAAAATTTAAAAAATTTTGTTCATCACTTCGGTATTTATTTTTGGTTGATTGATTTCTTGTCTGATTCTATGTTATTTCCAGGATGTAGTCTCATGAAAACTTGGGTAAGATACACATTGTTAATAATTCCAATGTGCCAGACTTTTAGGTAGTGTGCCTAAAATACAACTGTTTCTTTATTTCTACCGTGCATCTTTTAAAACTGCATCATTTAAGTTTAATTGTATTATCTGGAGGAGGGAAGGAAGGGGAAGAGAGAGGGGAAAGACAAAAAAAATCAGTTGTAAAGTCATTTCCCTTTAACTGTCAAATCAGTTGTAAAGTCATCTCCCTTTAACTGTCAAATTGATTCACCGGAATTAACATTCTTTCTTTAGTCTAGATGAGTTGGGTTTTGTGCCTTTAATTATTAATGTAATCCTTTTCCACTTTTTGATCTCCTTTTATTGTATCGTCCCATTAAGAAGAAATTGGCTAAATGAAACCAAAGTTTTGCTGTTCTCTAACATACGTTTTGAGTGATAAGTTTTTTCATAGGTTTTCTGTCGCCGTGATTCAGGGGATCATGACGTTTAAGATTCACGAACTTTTCAAATTCAAATATTACATGCTTGATATTTCGTATTTATGAAGCATTGAAATGAATTACTTTCTTGTTATTAGTGTTTTATTTTTGAAGTTTTTGAGAGAATCGAATTTTGGCAAAGGAAGATTAAGTTTTGAATATTGAATAAGAAGCAAATACTTAAGTGGTGGCACGTCCATACAACCTGTTATGCGTTTTCGACATGCTAGTAACCCGAGATGTTGTCCTCCCTACCTATTTTTTGAACTTGCTAATTTTTCTATGGACTCACTAAAACTCCCGGTGAAGTTCGTTGAAGCATTAAAATTTTGAGTCACTGTGAAATAGTTTATAAACATGATATTTGTCGTAAATTGAAATAATCCGTGTCGTCGGCTATTCTGATAATTTCAGCATATTTACATGACGTTAAGTTTTGCGTGCAAATGGAAATCTTAATTTTCTAATACATTTATGTCTTGCAAATTTCAATATTGTTTAACTGGAACTTCGGGTTAAAGATGCAATAAAAAGTAATTTTCTAATCGTATCCAAACAAGTAAAACTAAGAGCCGGATATTTCTAGAAAGCGCTAAATCAGTGTTGCAGGGAAACCAGAATGGGCATAATATATCTTATTAAAAGATCTGTGAATACCCTGATATCAATAGATTTTTTGATGACTAGTCAATCTCTAATAATTTCAGTGTCCACATTCAGCCATAAGCAGTGCAAATCTTTTTTCCAGAAACACAATGATACGTATTTCATCGTTCCTGTTATTTCTACGTCCTTTACTTTTGTACTGAATGTTATACGAAGTATATAGCATTATATCTGATGGATTAATTCTCTTCCAATTTTAGACTTCAATTTATTTATGCAATACATTTGAAGATGAAAAACACTTCAACATACATGATAACAAACTACGCGACAATGGATCAGTCACACGGAAAAGAATTAAGAAGCTATCCCAAAGCTTGTTTGTATTTGAGATATTTCAATGATTTTAGTGATATCTCTATCATCAATAAATTTATACGTTCTGAAATTTAGTGTTTTTTTTTTCATTTTTCTTTTTTACTTCATTCACATTTGATTATTGCATAAAGTAATTGAAGTTTTAATAAACTTCTCATTGAAGTTGAAAAGAATTAGGAATAAGAAATAAAACTTTGGATGATATATTTCGAGGTGTGAGCAATGCAATTTATTAATGTTTGATTTATTGTTATATATTTTTGTAATGATTCGTTCTCCTAAACTCTTTAAGTGAATGAAATTGCTCTATATACCCCAAATACTTCATTATACCATAATTGAATTCCTTTTTCGTATTAAATGAGTACATTTAAAAGTCTTAGAATGAAACAGAGAATTTCCTAGTTCTCCAATTTAATTTAAAGCAAATTAATGTAACAAAATCATAAATTAAGCTAACGGAACTATAATGTGAGAAATTCTTTCGGGCATAATTCTACAAATTTTCAATTTTCCAAAACTATGTAGTGATTAGAGAGAGTTTTAACTTGATTAATTAGTCATCTTAATTGTCAAAAATCAAATGCTAGGAAGCAGTCAGAATAAATTACAAGAGAATTTTTAACCCACTATTTTTACATCTAGGAGAAGGTTGAATATGTCTGAGAAACGGATTGGAACAGTGTTGACATACTTTTCGCAGATTAAGTAAACTTCTTGTTGATGTCATTTATGCTAAATTAAGGACAAATAAAAACCTTGCCTTCAGAATAAAGAGGAATAAATAATGTATAACAATGAACCAACTCATCATGTTAACATTCTTTTCAAATATGCAAATTTCTCGGATTCAATCGATGATTAATTTGCTGTAAGATGAAAAACAGCCCTTCCTCTAATCGATATTCGGTACATCAGTAGCAGCACTATTCAGTAAGGTGTTTTAAATAGGATAGCAATTTGGCGATGCAAACTTCCTGGAGGATATCAGAAGTTGTGAAATTTTCACCAACCCATATGATATCCTCAATTAATTAATCCAAGTGAATAATAATTTCATCTTTCGCTTACATCATTTTTTAATCAGGTTAAGATTTCGTTACCAAAAATTATCATTAAATTATCAATACAAAAGAGAGGAAGGAGATAAGTTATGAAAATTTATTCCTCTTATCAACTGTACGTCTCCTCATTCTTCCGCTAAATTCAAATTCCCGCCGTGTATGTTATTCTTGGCAGTGTATCAGTACTTCTATATGATGGAGTATTGATGACCCCCTTTCATTCTTGATGTGTTTGTTAAATTTTATTTTTATTTCTTAATGTTTTGTTAGCTTAATTCTTGTTCAATTAACTTCTCAGAATTGATATTTCTATTTTCCTGTTGCACTACAACTACCAACGGTACCAATGGTTTTTTTCTGTTAAAGAAGCTGTTGCACCATAACTACCAATGGTCATCTGTTAAAGGAGAGTAGTTGCATCAAAATTACAACAATCACTGGTCACTTATCAAAGTAGTTTGTATCACAACTATCGGTGGTGAATCACAATCACCAGTCTTTCATGGATTTATGTTTTATTGAATCGTTTTCTGTTTTCTGATTTGTAGAGTGATCTCTGAACTATTCATGCATAACTGTATCACGTCTTAATTCTGTCACGTCCTCTCTGAATTGCATCATATCGGAACTCTATTTGTGTAAGCTAAATACAAATTCATGTTTCAAGAGAACTACGAAATTCGGCATGAATTGCCGTTGCGTCAGTTTGCGTCAACTTTCAGATGCCATAGAGGTAGAACATAACGACATAAAAGACTTGATAATCCTGAACTTGAAATGTTTGCGTAAAATATATTTAGTTTAGAAAGTTTTAGCCACGTAACTTTTCTTTTTGCTTGTAGTGATTTTCATGAATAATTTTGTTGTCTTACAGAAACTATCGACAATGGCAGATGATGAGGAACAGATGGATGTGCAAGCGGAAAATGAACAACGTGCTGCGGGTTTAGCAGAACGAGCTGCTCAAATATTGCATAATTTGCCATTTTTGAATTTCCCAGCCATTGCACCTCATGAAGGTCGACACGATTTGGAACCACTGGATAGAGATTTTCATGTATTAGTACACAATGCAAATGCTGTATTAGCTGAACAACTTGCGGTGCTGGGAGAGTTGGTTTTTTTTATCAAAACTTAAATTTTATCTAACTTAGTTTGTAAGTGTTTTTCTTTTTTTTGTAGCATATAATTTGTGGGATCTGATTTTATGATTTGCATAGGATTTATTCTTGTTGAATTTATCCTTATTTAGTTGTGTGAGATTTCTTCGAAATTACTTTTCTCATTTTCAGTAGGTAATTTCAGCAAATCCTCTCTAGATCCATTGATAATCCGCGGATTCATCCACATCCATGGTTAGGTTTATCCGCGGATTTACGATCTGATGGAAGATTTTTTTATTGGGAATCAAAGTATCGTTGGGTGAGCTATTTTCGAGGAATTCAGTATTCACAGAGAAGCGAATCGTGCAGACGATGAACCAATAATGGGTGGAATGGAGCGCATTGCCGTAGGACTCATTGATGAGTTACGTAATATGATTGAACATCTGATAAGACAACGCGATGAAATGCGACAACTAGTTATGCAACGAGGCTTGTTTGATCCACTCTTCGGTCAATGGGACGAATTGCTGGAAGTTTGGGGAGTAAGGAATTTTACTCGAGAAAGTGGAAAAATGAAGAATCCGAGTTTGTTTTCTCAACCACATTTGAAACATTTAACTTCACATATACAAATTATGAACTAATTTATAAGATTCACTTGTTTTAAACCTTTGTAGTTGAATTATGTAGTACATTTTTGACAATATTTTTGCAATGAATAAAGCAGATAAAGAAAATACATAAAACTTCAATGAGCACAGTTACCTGTGAGTCGTAAAAATGCTCCCATTTGTTTACTTTTTTCATTTCATTGCTAATCTTAATTACATTGTGTTTGAAAAAATTTCCGAAAAGCTAACCAATGTACTTTTGAATGCAAAAGTTTATTGCTAGTTTATTGTTAACCAATTTATTTCTTATTTTCAAGCAATTATTCACATAGTTTGAGCTTTTTCCTCAATACATAGATGAATCAGTTTCAGAAAAAAGAAAATTACAAAGTGAGTTTAAAAAAATAACTATTGAAATTCAAGGTGTTTACTTGTTGACAGCTTACTATTTCATATGGATTTATCTATGTATTTTAGAGGAGGAATTTAAATATTACAGAATCGCTGGAAAATATTGTCTTGGATTACGTCACGAGTATAATGAACGATATGCCAGCGGAAGCATATACTCTATCATTACCGTTACTGTTTGAGATCCACGTTGGTTTATATAAGAAAAACAAGTTTCTTATATTGTACAAGGAATGGAGTAGCATCGACCAGTTTCAAAAAATTCTAAATTGGAAAATGAGAAGGTTTGCTTTCATCGCGGGGGTTATTCTATATGTAGTTACATCTTACTGAATATTTTGTCATCTTTTGTGCTTGACGGCTCGTAATTTCTGGATTACGTCAGATTTAGTCTTTTAGCAGTTGAGGATTCGGTTATCATTCGATGATGATGCTGCAATAAATCGGACTTTACTTTTCAGAATGACAGTTCATGAGCTTTTCAATGGACTAATGAATAAAGGTTACCTAATTGAACGAATTTTGTTCGAAGATTTGAAGCGACGAATTGTGGATCGTACAAGAGCGAAAGATGTGGAATTGTATGATTGTACACTCACCCTAGGTAAATGATCGTCATTCATGTTGAAATTTCTCCATAGAGGAATGACATTATCAATGATTAGCACTCGTATCAATATTGAGTTGTTCGTCTTTGATAATATTATGGTGGTTAAAATATTACCGAAAGATATGTTTTCGAAAGTTTTCAAAAGATAAAAGTTGTTTTAGCAAATTAATAATAATAGTTTCTAGGCACTTTTCTTTTGGATCACGGGTCACTTACTCTTCCTGGTGAGATCTTTAGATATTGTCAAAAAATTTTAAATTGGCTATCAGTCGACCATCAGTTGCGTCAACGAAAATTATTTGAACTAAATTATTGGTATGTTTGTTTTCTAAGCTGTTTGAAATTTCTTCTTGAAATCATGTTAATTGTTTCAGCTTATAGCAATGCACTGAAATATATCACATGTTGTCCTGTCAGATGGTGCATGGTATCTCATTTCTTAATGGAATAGTAGTTGTTAGTGAAATGTTGGTAAAATGTTAATCATAATTGACTATAGCTATTTTTCTGACTTTGTCAAATCTTTAAAGGTTACTCAAATATTACATGAACAACTGCTCATTTGTCGAAGCAGTACATATTAGTTCATTTACTGACACCTTAATTGATAAACTCGAAAGCAATGGTGATATTGCGACACTTAATTTCGTGCAAATTCAAACTCAGTGCGCTTCTTTATGGTTAGTTCTTTCTAATCCCTGCTTAGATCTATATCTCTTAGCATGATGTGTTTGGTTGCTTTTGAAGTAAACTTCGTAATGCTTGATGTTTTCAGGTATGTGCTGGGTCATTACAAAAAATCCATGAAGTTTTGTTTAAAAGCACTAAAGGCTGCTTATGACAAGGGGACGCATATTGCTGTAAGCTACATTACTGAGAGTTAATGGATTTGAGATGAAACTAATTTTTAAATATTATATAATTTTCGTTATTTCCTTCTCTGCGAACCTTACTTTAAAAGCATAAAAAATTGAAAAAAACTAAATCCTTTCTAAGCGTTTTAACTTTCGATCCTTTCATGTATTTGTATGAGTTAACTACGAACTCGGCTCAGAGGTATTCATCAAAAATATATTGTGTACAATTGTAATTTATTGCTTAATATGAATTCTTATAGGCACAAGTAGAGGTTTTGTGTGTTACTGCAAAGATTCTTGTTTACAAAAGGCGTTTTAACTTAGCCTTGAGAGCTGTTCGTTTCGCTTTGGCAATTGTTTTGAGCCATCCAGAGCTTGAGAGGTTACTGTGTTCTGTATTATGTGATTATGGAGATTGTTTGCTCAATTCAGATCATGTCGAAATGGCTGTGCAGGTTTATACTGTAAGTTGTATGATTAATGATAATTATGGTACTTGTATTATTAATTAATTAATTAATTAATAATTAATGTAATCAATATTAATTGATTTTTATTAATTAGTTTCATCAGGTACTACTTGTAGTACCTGACGAAATTAATAATTAATTAATATTCATAATTAATTAGTTAATAATTAATTCATCAGGTAATTAGTAATTAATTAATAATTGATTAATTCATCAGGTTAATCAATTAATGATTAATTAATTAATTATATGAATTAATGATAATTGATGATAATGATAATTAGTTAATTCATATTCGATAATTGATTCGATAATAATTCGATAATAATTCATATTCGATAATTCGATAATTCATCGATAATTGATAATTAATTTTTTTTTTTTTTATTCATCAGGTACTACTTGTAGGATGATAATTATGCTGGGTATTGTACATAACAATATGCTTTTTATCATTCTCACAGATTTTGTTAATTATTTGTCATAGTGGACTAATTTAAAGACACATAAGAGAGTTTTTCTTTAAGAAAAAATTTTGTTTCTAAAATTCCTGGAAGTTAACATTTTCTTTTCAAGCCCTTATAAATTTAAATGTAAGCTGATGAAATCCGTGATTGATTTTGTTCATATTTGGCACTGTAAATTTTATTGAACTTGGGATCCTATCGAAAACATCCGAGATTTTTTCTTGAAGACGAAGAAATTTTTAAAATGATCCAATGTAGGTGATGGCAAAAATGGTTCACAAACATTTCGGAACAGATTCTCTCCGTGATGGCCAAGCAATGTATGAATATGCCCGTGCTGCGTACCGGCTTCTGTTTGATAATTATGCTGGGTATCGCACAAACAAGTATGCTTTTTACCATTCTCACAAATTTTGTTGATGATTTGTCGTAAGATGTTGGATTAATTTAAAGATACATTAGGGAGTTTTTTCTTTCTAAAAAATTTTATTTCTGAAATTCCTAAAACCTGCGATTTTTAGAGAAAAATATGTTCAGCTACGTTTTCGCTGTGAAAAGTACGCCAACAAAGCATTAGAAATTTGTCGAGCAAAACTGGGTAGAGACCATTATCAGCTGTTAAATGCCGAAGAGCTGCAAGGTTGTTGAGTATTAATTAAATGATTTGAATCGCAAGACGTTGCAAGTTGTTTTATTTCTACGTTACAGTCTAATTTTAATTCAAAGTTCCTATTACTTTTTTTCATATTAAGAAAAACGTATTTTAATATTAGTATCATTGTCAATACAATCATCACATCTATGGATGTGATTTTGGTCGGATTTTTAAGAAACAGCACACTGTCGCATCAATACCCAAATTACAAATTATAAATTTTGCTTCAGAAACACTTAGTTTTAGCACTAGTTTCGGTAAATGGTGCTTTGCATAATGATACTGCTCAGCAACAGTCGCTAAATGAAGCGATGGAAATACATATTCGAGCTCTAAACAAATATCTTAGCTTCAAAAGTGAGAATGCGAACTGTGCGAGGACTTATGATTATCTTGGCTACATATATCGTTGGTCTCAAAGACCTGAAGTTAGCATTCATATGTTTATTTGTTGTGAAATGTAGACTTGCAAAAAATCTGATTGCTTAACTCATTTTCGTATGGTTGCTGCATGATATTGAAATGTAGCGGAGTATCTTTAAGATATCCAAACAAATTACGAAGATGATACTGCATGATAATAATTAATCGATTTCGACTGCTGAAAAAGATTTTAGTGGTTCCAAAAAGTTTAACAACTTCATGGCAGTTACTGAGGTCAATGTAATTTGGTTTACTTGATCGAAGATATGCATTTTATCATTAAATAATTGTAGTAATGAGGTGAAAATAATCAATAATATGTCACTTACCATTCTTCACCTCATAATACCAATCTCTCCGTCGATTTTCCCCGTAATTCTTATTAAAAATGCTAAATGGAAATGATTAATTGAAATTATTTATCATAGGTGTCTGAGGAAATGTTTGAAAAAGCTTTGGCTATAAAGAATGTTATCTATGGCATTAATGATCATGAAACAGCTCTCACCATGGCTTCTTTGGCTCATCTTTATCTGAAGGATATGAATCAACCTAGGGAAGCTTTGGTTCTTTTCAAAAAATGTCTCGAAATTGGTAAATTTTCCTTTTGATTGATTTTTTAAAAAAATTTGCATTGTCATACTTGGTTAGCGGCAATTTCTTAAGTGTTATGGATTTCACCGACACCTTTTATATGTAAAGTGAAATTAAAATGCTTCATGCTCATATTCATCATTGATATTACTAGAAAAAGCATTTCTAATTTATTAAAACTCCAGTCTACTACTGAATCTCATGTTTTAATTTGTTATACATCTATATATCTGTATTAAGCAAACGCTGCGCTCAAAAGAAACTTCAATGCATCTGTTATTTCTTTGCATCGTTTTAGACATAAGTATATATAGATCTAGACATGAATAGTATTTTTCTATCCAGAAGAAAAGGACAATATCGATTCTTCTTTCTTAGAGTGCATTTGTCATCATTTTTCCAGAGCTGAATATATTTGGTGAAGAATATTCGGGTCTTGGCACTATTTATGATGGAATGATGTTAGCATACGAAATAATCGATGATTTCGCAGAAGCAAGAATTTGTCGCGAGCAGCTGTTATTATGGAAAGCTAAGATGCGCCTGCTTGAAGAATCACCATCTGAGAATCCCTTTGGGGAATCATTATGCATCGAAGAAACATTTTCAAATTTTGCTCTGGAGTGCTTTAAAGCTCTTAGTGTCAGTGAAATGCAGCATTCATCAGATATCGAGATGAAGGAAACGTGTTAATTTTCCTGTATATGCAAATTTATTTGAAAAAATTTTTCCCACATATAAAATGTAAATATTTTGTATCATTTAGATAATTGCCTTCCCTTTCATTATCATTATTGTAATATAGTTCACTTCATTTTATATCATTTCCGAATTACATAGTTGTAAATGAATAGTTGTCTTCAGTCCAGCTGGAAGTTTCAATTCCATTTTGCTTTCTCCGTTCTTCCTATTTTTCTTTGCTTCTCCACTTCCTGTCCATAATTCTTTTTAAACGTTTCAAGACGACCGTTCTGATAAACCAATCAGAGCATTTATGTTCACTGTAACTTATCAAATTTTTCACTTCATGGGATTACCCAGTTTCGTTTATTCCCATGATAAATCCGGTTTCTTTATTCCTATTGATATAATGCTAATACTATTGGCTTTTGTGCAATGTTTTTTTCTCTTTTTTAATGCCCACATTGAACTTCCGATATGACGAATAATAGGTTGGGTCGTTTCATATGAAATTTCCCGCTTTTGTGATCGCAAAAACGTGATAAGTTATTTGAAAACATGCTACATCTCTGAATTGATCAACTGTTCTGCAATCGATTTAAAGTTCCAGTGAACACTTAATTTAACATTTTAATCTTTTTTTTCTGTTCATTTGTTTCTCTAGTTAGTCGATCTTTAATATTCCGAGTTGTTAATAAAATTTTTTTTTACTTATTCGTTTCCCTCTTTTTTTCCATACTACCATGGAAGATATTTCTGGAAGATTAGTTGAATTAATGAGTTGTTAATTAAAAGTTATTAAAATAACTAAGAGATATAAGGGATACGGTTGAGCCAGTTTTTTGACGGAAGACTCCTTATTTTATGTGTATCTTCACGCTACTCATTACAATTTTAAAATAAAATGGAAGGGTTAAGTTTTAAGTTTTAACTTAAAGTGTTAACCTCAAATTTAGTAACAAGATGAATTTCCCAAATGATTGTACCTAGTCCAAAAAGTATCAATAATCTACGAAATATATGAAGTACTTGCTTAAAACAAATTTTAAGAGTAACCAACGTTTGCCATTATCATTAAGCCGGTTCTTTTAAATTTTTGATGAAGATAAGACTGAAAGGTCATAGAGCAGTTTGAAAGTAGTAATAACAAACTAATCGGATTAAGGGTGAACAGAGTTGTAAAGGTAAGCAAAAAACAAAAGGAAAAACATTTTTCTCATTTGTCTATCGTTGACATTTTCTGTAAAGTGATCGAAGCATGGTTTTTCAAGGGATTTTTAGAAATATTGTTTTGAAAGTAATAAATTTATAAAAATTACATGTTTTGCGAGTTTTCCAGCAAGTTATTTTGGTGAAATAATAATTTTGGTGGGATTTATCTTTAATGAAATTATTTTACTAACTTATTAAAGGTTTTAAGCGGAATTTTTCCACTAATGTTTCAAACATTTAATGGTCAGAAATATTTGATTTATTAAATTAGGATATTTCATTATGGCGGAAGTCTCGGTGATTTGGTAGTGGATGAGGATATATGCACGTTTAGGCTCTTTTCCTCAAATCTAATGACGATGCCGCATAGGATGATTTGATTCCTATGCGACACTATCATAAGATTTGAGTAAAGAGAATAGATTTTAGAATCTGAACATTCTAGGCTTCTTAAGGTAGAACAGATAAACGGTTGCAAATGGAGAATGCAATATGTTAATAATCAATTTTTATGTTTTTGATAATTTAGCGCTTTAGGTGCCAAATTTTCTAGAGTTGTACAAGTAGTTTAGTGCGTTTTCTGATAAAAGTAATTTGCGCCACATTAAATGTTTATTTAAATTATGACTTTATTAAAGGATAAATTGTGATGTAATCATAATCAATTAATCGATAAAGATAGAGCTCAAAGAAAATTATGGGAAGAAATTAAATAAGGCATATACTATCTAAAGTGTTATTAACTTCCAAATAATTTGATCATAAGGTGTTTAATTAAGGTGTGTAAAGAATTTTTAGGAGAAAGTAGAATGAATGAATAAGTAAGTAAGTAAAAACAAAAGCATAAATCATAATCTTTACCCAAATTCTATCAATGAAAATTGGATAATATTATCCAAAAAAAGAAAAATGATACAAAAGTAATACTACACTGATAGTAAGCTGGAGAAATGAGTAGAAGTTAAAGAAAAAGAAATTTCCAAAGAACATGATGGAATTCGAATTTTTCGTTCCATTTAAAATTCGAAATTAATGAACAATTAAAAAGGAAAAAACAATTAATTGCATAAAACAAGGATAAAATAAATGGAAGAATAAATGTAAATCATGCAATAATAGGAAATTCTGAAAATTCTAAAATTATAAAACAATTTAATTGAAATAGAGCAAAAAAAAAACAAAAAAAAGTGCATGTCACCTAGTCAAATTAAATCATTTAAAGGGAAGGCGTTAATTAACTGAAAAAGTAATGAAAAGAAAACTGGAAAAGGAATAGTTCCAAAAAACATTTTTCTTTAATTTTAAGAAGTTTTAAATTTTGAATTTTAAAGAAATTTTTAAATGTCAAATCCTAAAGAAAATTTTAGAGAAAAAGAAGTAAAAAAGTCAAAAAAAACTTGGTAAATCTTATTTTAATTATTCTGCATAAATTTTTTTGGGGGAAAATGTTCACCATAAAAAATCTACTGGGTTAAACCAAAGTTACTTTAGGTAACTTTACTTTTTTTCAGTTAACTTAAAAAAACTTGCTCAAAGAACAAATTTGATGAAACATAGTGAATCTATACATCAGAAGATTCACACCCAAAATACATTTGTCATCCTGAACAAGGTAAATGACAATTTCGGTGCCATAAGACTACATCGATCAAAAAATACCGTATGACAGACAGTAAAACCGAAATAACGATTTCAAGATTAGCAATGGTTAGAGCTAATGAATATTCATAAATGGATGTATTCAAATTAAAATCTTTTAAAAATGAAGCAAATACATATCGGTGTATCCGGAAATCCAGAATGATACATTCAGATATGCTAATAACATTAATGACTCATATCAGCAATTTTTGTTTGTTTTTTACTCAATGTATTTGCAGGAAAAGTTTTAAAGTTTGTTCAAAGATCAGATTGGAAATTTTTTCAATGGAAAATAATTTTGAGCAGATGTATATTAATTGCGCACATTTATCATACAAAATGTTAGGAAACATAAAACAAATAAATAAAAAAAAACTAAGATTTCCGTCCCGATTGTTTTCGTTATTACTGAGAAATGTCTCGGATTGCATTTCAATGTTTTCATGAGATCTCGTACTACATCTCGATCCTTTTAATGATATTTCGTTGCTACATCTTGATACTTCTCTTATTACTGAGAAATATCTGGGATTATGTTACAATGCTGCCATAATTACTGAGAAAGGTACTTATTGGTCTCGAACTACCTGATACCTACTATATCAATTTTTATCTTCAACATACAAAAATATTATCATATCGAATTGATTATCTAATTTCATCCTAAATTTAATTTTCATGAATCTCTGAAATTTTTATTAAGATTCATTGATTTATTGCCATAATTACGACACTTATAGAGTAACACTCATTAGACAATCTTTTCTCAGATGGAACATTTTCACATATAGCGATGACATTTAGTAATATTTGTCATGCTCATTATGTTTTTCTTCAAAACTTTCTTTCCCGCTCCTTTCACCGATGTTAACTGGAAAAACTGGAAAATTCATGAAAAATTATAATACATTTCAAAATCAGTAAATTAATTGATCATTGACATTAATGGATTACAATAGTTTCCTGATTGATTTTCGGATTTCATTTCTTTGTTTATAACTTGTTTAAGAAATTGGACGTTTAAATTTCAAAAGAACTTTTAGGCCAAGTTTCAATCGAATTTTAATATTACGTTTCTCAAAAAAAAAAAAAAAAGCAACTATTCGTAGAAATTTTCCAAATTTTCAGTAAAACTAGAAAGTTATTCGAACTCTTCCATATATATTGTAGATTTATAATTTATGACGTATGTAATGAAACTTAATCAATTTTCTAGTCTTTTATTTAAAGTGATCAAACTTAAATCAATTTCTCGGTTTTTGGTTTAAAGTAATGGAACTTAATTAATTTTTCGGTTTTAACACATTTTATTATCATTTATCTTCTTTTTTGATTCAAAGTACATCAATTTGAATGTGTGATATTATTTAAAAATTCACTAAACAAATTTTTTTTCTTGAGAGACTAAAGAAGAAAAAGAGAAGGAAAATTTCTTGATGAAGAGAACAAGAAGAATACAGCCTGTCTTTTTTCTTACATTAATTAAAAAAATCAAACTGAATCTAAAATGTTAATGATAAGACAATATAACGATGATATCTTTTAATCAATCATTGGGCTAGATTCATTATTATACTTCATTAATTTCATACAAACCAATCAACTTCTTTCATATCACTACTAAAGCATACCATATCATGTCGTATCATGCCATATCATATCATATCATATCATACATATAAGCTACTAATAGCCAATTTTCAAATGAAACGAAAAAAAAATTGAAAAATATTCAAAATTTTGCACTCCCACAGGCATTCCATCTGTAAAGAGTTGTGAGTGATAAATCTGAAGAAGTAATGTAAATGAAATATTATTTTAATTTGTGCAAATGATGAAAGTTTATAATGAAGACCATATTTTTGTCAATCAAACTTTGGTGACATCCAAGTGATGTCATCAAAGGGAAAAAAAGTTTGATTCTTTTGAAGGAGAAAAAAAAGCACAGCAATACACCAACCTATCCAATTCTTGTCCTTTTTCCGCCCAAAACATTTGATAAAAACTAAATTATATTTTCCATTGATCATTGACCTCAAACTCGAAATATACCTTTTATAATAGCTAAATTGGAAAAGAATGAAAATAATAAGCCTTTTCAAGGGTTTTTTTTTCTCGGAAGAGAATGACATTTGTCAACTTTCAAAAAAAAAAACTCTTATTCTTATCAATTTTTTGGATGCAAATTTAACAAGCACTTATGTGAAGGCATTTTATTTGAATGCAAAGAAAGTAAATTTATTTGAAAGATTTGCATTTCTTAAATGTCATATTTGTTTAAAAATTTTCGCATAAATTTCGAAATTATCTTTTGTATGAGATTTGCTGTTTTCATTTCTTCCAAATTGAAATCATGAAATTTGTTCCCATGGAAACCAGTAAATTCTACTAAAGGGATAAGTGTATAGGAAATAAGTGGATGAACAAATAACTACTTATCAGTACACCAGATAGATACTTGACTAGGTCTGGATATTTGTTTAGGATAAATTAGACAAGATATTTTGATATGTATTTGTGTGCTAGTAATAGTATTAGTAAAATACAGATGGTCCTTTATCATCTTTTCAATGATAATATTGAATTTCTTTAAAACCTAATCTAAATGATTCTTTTATTAAACATATGTTAATAAATTGATATTATTTTATCATATTATCATTTTTGGTATCCATTCATTTGGATGATTGTCATGATATTTCGGATTACCATGGAATTTCATTTCGATAAATGTTCACCCATTTATATTCATTACCTTGATGGACAGTTTAGTGGACATACATAAACAAAAGGATGATAATCTCGATAAAGGTGGACATTGATCGTTTAACATTAATTATCACTAAATTACACCTCCATCTCAATATCTTATCGTTAGCGACATATCTGCATGTTGCTTATATATGTGTACGCATTTACTTGCATGCATGCATACATAATTACTAATCTCTTTTCAGCATTTCCCCATATTCATAGATATTAATTAATTAATGAAGTGCACATATTTCGACTCTTACCCTATTGCTAGCATGCATGACAACAAACAATATAACTGAAATGAATTGAGGGGAGGGATCGATCGGTGGGTGGTTATCGATCGAATGACAATGTCATTAGCTCACGTTTCTGTTGTTTATCAGATATTAGCCCGTCCTGTCTTTTTTTCT